TTTTGGATTTGATTTGCTATAAGCCTTTCTCTTGTAAAGGGGTGGGGGTATTTTGTTATCCTTATTCTTAGCGTTAAATATTTAATGCGCTCAATGTAAATTGTTCTCAAGTGCTGGCTTGTAAAATCATAACTAAGATGGGATCTTCAATTATACCGCACTGTAATTGACTCAGAGATAAAACCAGAAAAGATCTCGATTGCGTCACCAAAATCATAGCCGGTAAATAATCATGTTTTTATAAGCTGACCTTCTGGAGAATCCACTAAAATCAAGTGAGGACCAAAAGGCGCATCAAGTTCACAAAAAACTATAACATTATTTTAAATATAGTTTTTTTAAGTTGTTCCATATTTATGAGTTAATGTGCTAAGTATCAGAATAGAGCATACGTCATTATAAAAGTGGACAGAGCGGTGACAGTCACGTTCATGCTTAAACGCAATCTTCAAGCAAAACATATATATAATTGTGTACTTGGACAGCAATCACTCTTTTATACAAGCTTCACTAAAAACGACTGACAAGGTACTGCGGTTAACTTTTTTTTATTATTTAATTTTTTCTTGTATTCTTATAATTTTCTTCTTTTCTGGAGATAAATTATGAAGAAATTGTCCGATCGCTTTCGTCTATTCGTTTTAGCCATTATCAAGGATGATTGTATCTTTTACTTTTACCTGAATGTTTGGAATTTTTATGCATATATCTAGAGTTATAGCAATGCTTTATTTTCCAAATACTGTCAGTATATTATAGCTGTGTTCATAGTTGATGTTATTGAATGTTGTCTTTTTCTTATTAATAATGCTTCCGTTATTTTAGTCTTTTTTTTTTGGATGAGGCTATTATATTTGTATTATCAATGAGTATGTTGCGAATGGTGTTTGTTAGGTATCCATGTGTATTTAAATGACACCTAATTGAGCTTTGTCCCGAAAGATGTAACATGAGTCTCCTTGTTCTGCATGTGGCAGTATATCCAATATATTTTTTTGTGAATTTGGTTTTGATCAGGAACACAGTTCCTTATCGACATGTGATTTCGTCACTGATATTGATAATCTGTAATTTGCATCTTGCATATGAGTTATTATTGTTAACGATGAGGTTAGCAGTTTAATTTTTTATACTAGATAATTTAATTTTCTTGTTTTTGTCGAGTGAAGTTTATGTTTCTAAGGGAAGATTCATTCTCTTTATAGTTACCATGCATTTCATTTTAATAGATGTTAATGTCTTTGTTTTCATCTACATGATCAGCGTTGCTATTGGTTACCTTAGAAAAAAGTCTAATTTGGTGATCTATGAGGTAATTCGGAAAACAGTTAATTACTTGCGTTTGTTTCCCGTTGTTATGTTCTTTAAAGAAAAACGGACGAGTGGAGGAATTCTCGTGCGCTCTCATGAGAATTTTTATAGCGACTCTTTTATATCTAAGTGAACACTGAATAATAAGATGAAGGTCGCAAAAATTTCTACATGCGTTTTTTTTTCTTTTTTTTTTTTGTATAAAGAAGTAATGAATTTATTATTACTAGACTCCACAGGAACGTCCAAGAATGGTAGTTTATTATTTTGACTGAGTTCATACGTAAGTTATATATATATATATATATATATATATACAAAGAAATAATTACACATAGAATCAATCAGAAGTATTAATGCGATTATTGGCGACATCCATCGCTAGAAACATAATATATGCATTAAAATACTGTTAGAATGAAGTGATCCTCGTCGATAAACTTGATGTCTGTAGTTTTCAGTTTATTTGATGTTAAAATGCTAGTACTTACGAATAGTCCTCTATTCATCATCAAGCATGTGTTTTTTTTTCCTTATAAAATCAAAAACTTGGAGACGAAATACTTGTATGTCGACTGTTGGGGCGCACCCACCTTCTAACTAGTAATGGACTGGTCCCTCTTATATAAGTCAGCTCTGGGGAGAGAGTCAGGGTGAGCAGCCCAGATACTTTCTGAGCGACTGCTCGGTTTCAACTCTCTTCCTACGGGCGAGAGGAACCCGAAGGAGGCTACGCCGAAGGGCGGAGTCTCCTTCGGGAGGTTAATCTCGGCCCTGAACCCGTTTATACGGGTTCAAATGGGCTATTTTTGGCCGAGCCTAATGGCTCGGGAATGCCCACGTTAAAAAGGCCTTGTGCCACATGACACCCTCGTGGGGGTGACTGAATATCTGAGCAGCCCAGATACTTTCTGAGCGACTGCTCGGTTTCAACTCTCTTCCTACGGGCGAGAGGAACCCGAAGGAGGCTACGCCGAAGGGCGGAGTCTCCTTCGGGGAGGTTAAACCGGCCCTGAACCCGTTTATACGGGTTCAAATGGGCTATTTTTTGGCCGAGCCTAATGGCTCGGGAATGCCCACGTTAAAAAGGCCTTGTGCCACATGACACCCTCGTGGGGGGTGACTGAATATCTGAGCAGTCCAGATAAGCTTACCCGGTACATACCGTTGGACTATAGACTTTGGATATTGTTTCGTACTAACCAACCTTCGTTCTACTAATCACTCTATTGTTAATTGCTTTTATGAATATACCAGTATTTTCCTCTACAACTGTGTTTGTCTTGATTCATACACCGACACGCGGGAAACTCACAACATCTCAACATCGACCGAAAGATGTTTTTTGAATATCTGCTATATACATATGTTTGACACTTAGTGTACTGTCTACATAAAATTAATTCCGTTTATTCAAATTGTATTCGCCATTTTTTATATGCGGAAAATGTGTATAGCATTCGGCACAAACTGGAGTAAAATAAGACAACAGTGAGCTCGTGCATTATTACGCACTTATCACCATCTATTTTGACAGTAACTGACGTCCAAACGCTTGAGTGTTATTTTCCTATTTCCATCAAGCGAGCCTCCTGCTACTTTTCCTGAATCCCATGATGAAATTCCGGCGTCATAGCCATCCTTCCCACGCGTCTAACGAAATCCGGGAAGAATCTCGAGATGTTCCCGAGAGAGAAATTCTGGCAATTCTTTGAATCTAAAATTAATGATTAAATCAGAACTGGACCATTTTGAATGATGCAATGGATACTTTTTTTCATGATGAAATTCTCACCATGACAACAGTGATGCTGATTCATGTCTGCTTGTGACAGTATGACTTGAAGTGTGGTGAATGTAAAAGTTACTTCGAAAAAAATATACGAGTTTTGGTTGAAAATTCCATAGGCTGTCTATGAAAGTGTGATGCTAGATGTATGAAATCTTGCCTGCATTATTTTCATCTCTTCTTATTAATAACTGCATTGTTTCCTTAGAGATAAACTGAGATCTGCATGTTCAAAGAACAACATACGGTTAGTCAAAAAGTCAACAATAGTAGATATGACGTCATCATTACTGCGATGGTGGTTACCAGCCATGTTTTTTCATGTTTGGGATCAGATTATAATCATATCAGTTCACAATCGTGATCACTAACCATTGAAACCAAGCGCCTGTGTGCTGGAGCATTATGCTGATGAAATATGTCTTCTTTCTTCAGTTTTCCTGGGTATTTCTTTTTGATAGACTTTCGTAACCGCCTCAGCAAGTTGGCATTGTACTCACCATTGATGATGTTGCACTTTTGAAGATATTAAATAAATACAATACCTTTTGCATCTCAAAAATCTAAGGCTACCACCTTCCATGCAGATGAAACAACTTTGACCTTCTTTGGAGAAGGTGAGCGGGGGTGATTTCACTGCATGGCTTTTCTCTTTGTCTCTAGCTCAAGGTAATGAACAAAACGCTTATCTTGGGTTAAGAAAAGTTCAATGAAACCAGCCTCAAGCAATGTCAGGTTTCCCTGTGATTTGATCAGCTGATATGCTTTTGATCAGATTTTAGAAGACGTGTCACCGACCCAGCAGAAACCTTCGTCATGTCAAGTTTATTGCGCAGAATAGTCTCGGGATTTACTGATAGTCAATCATCATGTGGTGAACACGATTAATGTTTTCTTCGCTGATGGCAGTCGCAGGACGTCCAGACATTGTGTCATCTTCAAACTCTCTCTTACCCTCCTAAATTCAGCTGACCACTTTTACACTGGTGATAAAGCTGGGATGTCATCCACTAAGGTATCAATCATCTCAATATGAATGACCTTATTGGATAAACCCTTTCTCTGCTGGTATTTGATAACACCACGATGCTAATTTTTATTCTATTTTCAAGAGATGTCGCTACTCGTTGCCCTTAAAGTTTATTTGTACAGGATTTATGTATAAATGTATGGATTTACGTATACATGTATGGATCCACACACGAAAGGATGTTTAGCTTGTATCTAAAAAATCTCTGACTTCCCTCTGAACGGAAAAACCTGTAATAAAAATACACTACAACCCAGAAAACTATTACAGTTAATATTAGATTCTGTTAGATATCAATTATTTTTCGTAATATTCTATTTTAGTTTTATTTATTCAGTTTCTTGTCGCACACGAGTGGTTTTCGTTGTTTTTCATTAGCGATATATCAACCTCCTTGTGTAAAGCTGTAATCTAAATATTTTATACGCACTCTTTTTTTTTTTAGATGATAAGGGTTTTATTGATAGAAGTATTACTAATTAAGCCATAGCTGATGGAGATGTAGATTCATACTTTTCCCAGTGACATTTGCGCGTAAGAGAACCTAACGAACCCAACTGGAACTAGAACTCGGCCCTCCGATTAACAATTACAAGCCATTACCCATTACACTACCCGCACGCCCAAGATTAGTCTTCCCAAGCGATCACCCATCTAGATACTGTTCAGGTTCGATGTTACTTAACTTCGGTGAACGTACCGGAATCTGTGTTTCAACGTGATGCAACCGTAAGCCCTGAGTGATTTTTACCTGTGTGGGTCATCTGCATTTTTTTCTTTCTGGTTTCTGTAGTATTCTGTATGCGTGTGTTGGAGAGTGAACTTCAATGGTGTGAAATAATATGCAAAACTATCATTAAACGTCTCCCGATGCGTCTCCCTGACAGTAATATGGATTCCCCTTATCTATCCTTGTAAGTAGCTGTGTGTCTTACCGATGGCACTTGAGGTATATCATATTAGCACCCTCTGCACGTTTGCGAGCAGATTTCTTTTCATTGTATCTTCTTTGTTGTGTTTATTTTCTTATTATATTCGCTTTTTTTATCATTCATCTTTCTATTTTGCATTTAACCTTGACTTCTTCTTCTTCTTCTTCTTCTTCTTCTTCTTCTTCTTCTCCTCCTCCTCCTCCTCCTTCTTCTTCTTCTTCTTTTTTCTTCTTCTTCTTCTTCTTCTTCTTCTTCTTCTTCTTCTTCTTCCTTTCATTTTATTTTGGCTCACAACCGAAGGTAGTTTACTTGATTCATTCGTTTATTTTTATTTTTCAAATATTTTCTTTTAAGATTTTATTATTTTTTTTAACTTCATTTAATTTCTTTTATTCATTTTACTTCTATAAAATAACTGACTGTTTTATTTCTTCCTTTCTCGTTTACCTTTTTTTTTTCTTGCCTTCTTCGAACTTTTTCTTTTGTCTCTTCATTTAGATATATTCTTCCTTTATGTTATGCTTGGAAAGATTATTTCTTTGTTAGTTTATCGTGTCTTTTGTTAGTTTATCTTGTCTTCAACATCATTGTTCTTTTATTTCTTCTTTTATTTTCCCCAGTGTTTATTCGGTTTCACTGCGTTTTCATTGTTGACTAATTCAATTAATTATCTTTATATTCTCGTTAAAATACTTTAATTTAATTTCATCGCATTTTGTCTCCCTTTTTTATATTCCGTTTTATTCTTTCTTGACTGAAAAATGATTCTCACTGTTGTCTCGTATTTGCATACCGATATCATTTTTATTGCCACTGTTTGCATTTCAACTCCAACATAAACTTACACACACAAATTTCACATAGACACTAAACAGAGATATTAGCACCAGAAACAAATAGCTTCTGATATAAGCTTCTAAATAACAGTGTCGCTGAAAATCGCCGTAAATATGCACATAAAACACGTCGTATCTCGGACATATATTTTAAAAGAATAACTGGGAAATGTTACACCTGTATTTGAAAGTTATATATATATATATATATATATATATATATATATATATATATATATAAGGCAGGATGTGTGGGCGTGTGTAACGAATGCACGGCCTCAATTTTCGACTGATTTGCACCAAAATATGCATGCACATGCTCCAAGGGAAGGCCAAGACCGACGTTTGCATTTCCTAACTCCCATCGATAGTGGAAATAATCGATTTTTTTTATGCTTCTACGGCAGTTTTCATGTAGTTTGCGGCCAGAGTGAATGCCAATAGCTGGCTGCCACGAATAGGATTCTATTGGCCAGCGTGAGAGCCAACAGCTGACTGACCTGAATGTTAACTAGTATGCAAAAAAATCGATAGCTGCATTCGTCACAAGAGGGAAAAATTTAAATCTGCATGGCACTTTACTCCAATTGGCTCATTTGCTTGCCTAAACTTAACGTTGATTCTGATTCCACAGAACTGGGTTGGGTGTGAAAAAGTATTTGTTGTTAACATTCTTTTTTCATTAGGTTTTTCCAGTTACGAGTCCTTTTTTAAAGCTGACCGTTTTGTGTTCATTTTGTTTAGTTCTTTTTCCGTAACAGCTCTGACGAGCTATTTTCACTGGTGGAGCGACTGCATGTATTTAAGCGTGCTACTAGGTGGGCATCTCGGTCCCACCCTTTTACTGTCGAAACAGTTAAATATAATTGCCCTTCCTACTCCAAAAACTTCTTCTTTCGCACCTTCCGACAGTGGAACTCACTTGCTTTTACTTACTTCCCTGATAACTGTAATCTCCCAAAAATTACATGTAATGTCAATCGACATCTTCCGTTGCCTTGATACCCGTTCTTCTTTCTATCCTCCTCTTTTCTTCTTTTTATCCTTTCCTCAATAACACCCCCACCTATACCCAGTGTTTTCCCTTACTTACAATCTCTGTAGCACTTTGCGTACTAGTGGCACTCCCGCCTTTCTTGGGGTGAATAGCTTAATATATACATACATATATATATATATATATATATATATATATATATATATATATATATATATATATATATATATGTGTGTGTGTGTGTGTGTGTGTGTGTGTGTGTGTGTGTGCGCACTTTGTGTGTGTGTAATCATATTAGTTGATTTTCTGAATTACTATTTTATGGTAATTATTTCGCTGACAGTTAGCTGCATTTTATGAAATTTTGTTATCCTAATCTGGCCATGTTCCGACCAATTCATTTTTTAAATGAAAAGTCTACTTTTTAGGTTTCCATATTGTAAAATAAGACTCCAAATATAAAACAAATGTTCTTGAACCAATTCCTTAACTGATTATAATATTCCTTCCCAACTTAACGGTCGTTACAAGGATAAGAAATCGTGGAGAGCAATGATCAACTACCTCCTGAAAGTACACGACACATGGAGGAAGAATAGCAAGTCGTGATGTTGTAGGTTCTATATTGATATGGATCAGAAAGGCGTTGGTGGCACTGATATAGTGATGGTTATGGCTTATACTAGCGTAGAAAAGACAAATGACGGTGGCGGTATCAGAGGTCGTAATAAAATGGCTGAAATTAAAAAAATCCTGTTGGCGGAGATTATGATGGTGTCCGTTGTTGTAACAGGAGTAGGTGATCAAACGATGATGATTGTTGTAGTGGGATGTAATAAAAAGTGGAAGATTCAAGTACATGGTCAAAGAAACGGAGATTAGTGTCTACGTGATTTATGAACGTTGTCTTTAAATCGGTTTCTCGTTAGGTCTTCAAGTGCTAATTCTGCTTGTTGCGGCCACGGAAACTACTCAGCATCACGGACATGTTGCCTGATAGCAAGTTCATTGGTCGTCGCATTCTACATTAGCTTCCCCACGTGTTACACTGTTCGTTTCTCTTACCTCGACTGCCATCGCCTCTCACCTTTGAGACGATCAGATTTCTTAAATATATGAGTGTCTATATCTCATTTTATCTTGGTTTATCTCATGTCATGCCATCAATATTAAATTTAGGATCATTATTATCAAGATTTTTCATACTTTCTATTTACAGAAAGTTGTTTAAGTTGCACTCAATGGCTCCGAACTTCGTAATTATTTATTTTTTGGGTGAGTAGAAAATTAAACTTTACAAAAGAAACATATTTCACTTCTATTTTGGGGCCATTTTAATCTCTTATTGAATTCTTATTTTGAGTCCCTACAAGTTGGATATTGTGATAACAGATGACATTTGATCTCGTCCCTATGCTACGTCATATTTTAAATCATATCACCCCCATGCAAAGCCGTAAACCACTAAGACAGAAGGGGTTACTTAGGGTGAAATAATAAGAAAAAAATAGAAACATTAAGGAGCGAGAACAATAGAGTAGTAATTAAAAAAACATTAGATAACGATTGAGGTGGCGTTTAAATTTTTGAAGATCAAAATTAGCTGGAAAGCATGAAGTCGGAAGAGAGTTCCACGGTCGAGAAGTGCAAGAAAAGAAATTGTTACGGTTACATTTACCCAATTCAAAACAAGAAATTACTATCATAGCAAAGAACTGGCGTACTTCAACGTGCTGTAATGCTTAGCAAGCTTGTCACGCTAGATCAATCACAACTCAGTAGGGAGTTCGATCCTCACTGGGTACTCCATACTTTCGGCCTTGTGCTACATCTAAGCTACGCTTAGAAACTCATTTGAGCACTCCATCGTAGTCTGATAATCTCGCTAGATCAATTACAACTGAGAAGTGAGTTCGATCCTCACTGGGTACCTAATAATTTCCGGTGCGGTGCCACATCTAAGCTACGCTTAGAAAATCACCATACCAATACAATTCATAATAATCGTGTATTTTATCTTCGACAATGTGGCATAAATAATAATCATGAAGCTGTTCACATAGAATATATTTTAAAAATTATTATTTAAAATATAGCTATACTCATCATAGGCGTTGAACAAATGATACCCGGCAGTGTAAAAACAGTCTCTTGTATATTATTATTTCAAGAACCGCTACAAGTTCCGGAATTGCATAAAAATGGTATCTGATATGCCAGGTAGTGTAATAACAATGGCCTATTTTGGTGAATTAGATAAATGTTCCATTCGCCATTCCTGACAAAACTGCCGAGTACACGAGACGAATGAAGAAGGATGGAATGGTTCAACTGTGGCATCTTCGAGCGAAAAGCAGAAAAAATCGCGAAATGTATAATAATTTTCTCTATTATAATTCTACTTGTTCTGCGATACCTTAGTTAATTTACACGACCGTTACGCCCTGTCGATACCTCATATTTATTGAACTATTCCGTTTTGACCGCGTGAAAACACAGAATCGGCACTACACTCGAGAATGGAAACATAATAATTTTGCCTGTCTTCCCCCGTAGTTTGCACGACCGTTATGTGATATCAGATTCTCATAGCTAATTGGCTATTTCGTTTTTATCGACGGAAAAAAAAAACATATCAGAAACGCTACTTAGTTTCAGTAAGAAAAAAGAAGAGGAAATATGAGTGTTTAACGTATGTTTTAATGACACACTTCTATATAAATAAATTTATTAATAAAAACGTTTGTAAGGCAGGATTTCGGCTAGTAATAAAAACTATAGCAAGAGTATTTAAAAATAATGCCGTGATTACTGCGTTGATCTGTCAAGAAAAGGAGATGAAGCAAGTTTTTTTTTACTGCATGTACAAAATATAGAAGTGGCATTGAGAATGTGAAACGGTTAAATATGCAGGTGAGGCAGAAATATTTCAGTGAAAAAGACATTCGCTAGATGTAGACACCATTGTCAATAATGTTCACCCAGTACAATTCCATATGAATTGTTTTGATGTCAACGAATACTCGTTGTCACTTTCGTGATGTCAACGAATAGTCGTTGTCACTTTCGTAATGCTCGTTGTAGTAGAGACTTTGTAATCGCAGATACATCTATAGTACGCCGTTGAACAATGCTGGTCTGACACTCCTTCGAATATCACTCGCACTAATAGTTCTCGCCCGATAATACTCGCTCGAATAGTAACCACCAATAGTGATCCGTATACAGAATACTATAGTGAATGGAATAGAGAGTAGCGTTTTGTATAGTAATAGACGATAGAGTAGAAATAGCGATCATTCAGACGTCACGTTACCTCCCATATTTACGTTTCCTCTATGGTCACGTGGGCTACTTAATTCAATAATGGGAGGGCTTGTGTTTGGACACTGGCGATCTATGCTCTAACTCAAGTGTCGGCAGCGGCACTTTATTCATATATAAAAAAATTGCTATAAATAAATCTTGATTTCTTTTTGCTAGTTACCATTAATTTTCTAAACATGTCGGCAGAGCAGAGTAGTGAAACAGGCAGGTTATTTCAACTATAAATAAATAGAAGAGACGTGTTTATAGCATTACGATTATAAATACGCACATCGCCATGGTGTTAACAGTTCAGGGCGGCTTGTAAGTCGCCACTAAGAATTTGCAGACTAGAATTA